TTTTTTATTATTCAGGATGGCTTGGTACCAAGAGAAAAAAGAATTGGAATCAAAGAACGTTGTTGATAAAGAAAATTTCGAAGAAGATTCCAGTTTGCAAGCATATTTTATTTATGCAATCATTATGTCACTCGTCACGGTTAGTCATTGCATTATTATTATTATTATTATTATTATTATTATTATTATTATTATTATATCATGAAAATTAGACAATAATATATTTGAATTGTATTTTTTATCATTAAAAACAGGTGTTGACGTTACTGATAGTATTAGTAATGAGAAAAAGGATCGCATTGGTAATGCAATTATTTCGTGAAGCTGGAAAAGCAGTTTATTCCATGCCTGCCTTACTTCTTCAACCAATTTATGTGAATATTCGTACAATGTCCTCTATCAATTTGTTATATGTATAAACTATTATAATTATATGTTAATTATATTCAACAAAAATATTATAATTATTTCAATAGACGTACTTACTCGTTGGCATAACTATGTTCGCTTGGATTTATTGTATGCTCTGGATAGAAAGTGCTGGTACTGTTTATAAAAATAAAACGGGAATTCATTTTAGAAAAGATGGACTTTTGATAGTAAGTATCATTATTCTATAAACTATTCGAAATTTGTAAATAATTTATTTATTAATAATATTATTATTATAGGCTGCCAGGTGGTACAATCTTTTCGTTTTCTTCGTGTTATGCGAATTTTTCCTCGGTTGTCAACACATGGTCGTTGCACTTTCGGTAGCACGTTGGTTTTTCACCAGGTGAAGAAAACATTTTTCTTCCATTTATCAATATATTCAATGCATAAAAATGTTAATTTATTGATTGATTTGTTTGATTTTTAATTTTTAGAGATAAGAAAAAATTATCTTTGACTGTGACAAAAGGATTTGGATATCTCGTGAGATATCATTTGGGTACAATAGCATTTGGTGCATTGATCATTGGAATTGTTCGTTTGGTACGAGCTATGATATCCTTCGTTCAAAATACTTTGAAGAAATTTGACAACAGTTTTGTAAAAGCTATTTTATGGTGTTGTCAATGTTGTCTATGGTGTTTCGAATGTGCACTCAAATTTCTCACAAGAAATGCTTATATCGAAACAGGTATTGTTCAATTTATTTTGTTATTTTTATAATCAACGTTTCGTTGAATCAAAAGTTCGTTCATTTGTTGTGTTGTTTCATTTTTGTTTTCTTTTTTTATTTATAAATTCAGTAAAATATATAAGCGAAATATTAATATAAAAAAAATGTACGAACTTTTGTTTCACTTTAATATTGAAATAATATTTCTAAAATAATAATTATATTGTATTTATTGTAATTGTTTGTTAGCAATATACGGATGCAATTTTTGTACCGGTGGTAGAAAAGCTTTTCTAGCATTATCGAGTAACATTTTAAGAGTGGCAGCTATCAACAGTGTCGGAGATTTCGTATTGTTTTTGGGAAAAGTATTGGTAGTTGTATTGACAGTTATAACTGGTATTTATTTGATACAGGTAAAAATCATTGTATATTTTTATCATCTACATTAGTTATAATTAGTTAGTTAGTTTTGCATGAGAATTGTGTAAAAGAAAAGTTGTTTTTTTTTTCTCTCACATATTATTTGCATAGAAGAAAGAAGGATTGCAACATCCATGGGTGCCAATTGCCCTCGCAGGGTTATTGGCTTTCCTCGTATCCCATTGTTTCATTTCAATTTATGAAGTAAGTAAATAATCTAATGATTAAAAAAATAAACAAATTTTTAAAACTATTTATTTATAACTTGGGATTTTTTATTATTAATTTTCAGATGATCATTGATTCAATATTCCTCTGTTTTTGCGAGGATTGTGCGAAAAATGATGGAATTAGTAGACCATACTTTATGAGCCGTGGTTTGATGGTAAAATTTAAATACATTTTTCTCTTTTTTATTTTTTTTTTTGTTATCCTTTGTTTTAAATAATATATATATATTTTTTTTTATTATACAGGAATTCGTGGAAAATAGTAAGAAAGCTTTACGTCAATTGGACGAAACTCAATGACACCCTGTTGTCAATGATCCAAAAAATCACCCAGTTTATATTTGACGAGAGTTAAATCGTGATTTTTTTCGGATTTTTAATTCTTTTTTTAAAAAAAAAAAGGCACAAATATAAGAAAGAAGAAAGTTAAGAAAGAAATAAAGAAGAAAGAAACGAACAAATGAAAATAATAATAATTATTCTTCTGAAAAAAATCTTCTTGAGATAACATTTTAGCACAATTTTGTAGAAATAAGTTGAAAATAATAAGAAAAAGAAAAAGAAAAAGAAAAAGAACAAAAAAAGAAGAAGATAAAAGACATGAACATGATACGATAAACATAAAAAAAAAAAAGAAGAAAAATACAAAGATTATACCAACAAAATACACGAACGAATAAAAAACGCAAATGGTCAAATAAATCTAACATAGAGTTACGAGAGAGATTTTTTTCTTTTTACACAAAAAAAAAAAAAAAAATAAAAAAAGACTGTAGTAATAAAATCTATTACTCGAATCTCTGCCACGTTACTACAAAAGAAATATTTCGCCATTGCTGAAATTTCGTTCGAAATATACTATTTTCTTACAACGTTTCACATATATCAACGAACGATGAATAGTTTTATAAATGAAACTTCGATTTTGGTTCCTAAAGCATGTATTTATAAAATGCGTACAATGTAAGATTAAAAAAAGAAGACACGAAAGAATCGAAACCAAATACAAAAACAGAAATAGAAACGAATAAGAAGAGAATGGGTGGGAAAGTTAAAGTTCCAATAAACGAAATAATAATTTGTCCAATTAACTTAGTGCGAGAAAACGCTTTTTGAATATATATCCTTTTTTTTATATACATTTATACATTAATTTTTTTGTTTTTTTTTTTTCTATAAACAAAATGCACAAATATTTTTATCAATGCGAAAACGATAATCTCGTTATTCGTGTGTTAAGTATTGTTACCATGAGATAAGAGTATTTTATACTCGTTATTACAACAAATGTATACGTTAACGAACAACAACAAAAAGAAACCAACCTTATTGTGATCATACAGACTGCATTGTAAATAATATTCCATAAATCTTGATAATACTACATTATTGTAAAACGACAAAAAACGTTGCTATTTTAGTTCTTCTTTTAAATCCCATAAGCGCATGTATTATTTGTCCATTGAAAATAATATGTACGACAATTACATTTAAGAATTGTACGAGTATAATATAAGTTTAGATAATATTATTATTATTATTATTATTATTTATACTTCGCATATATATGCTACTACTATTATTAATGTCGTTTAAGTAAAATTATTATTAATATTATACGATAAGATTAAGAAAAATACAATTATATATATATATAAATATGATTTATTTCTATACTCACGTGTGAATTTCTCTTTCTCCGAATGATAAGAATAGTGCCGTGATTTTTATATTATAATTATTCTAGAAAAGATTGAGAAAATATTCAATTAAAATAATAAAAAGAAAATTAATTATAAAAAGCATTGCGCCTGTAGTTATGCAACCCTCCAGACACAATTTGAAAATGTTGCTCGCGAGCGCCATCTGTTGGAACGGAATTTTTTTTTCTGCTCGAAAGATAGGCAACCCGTAATACATACGTGTATGAACAGTTTGGGCTGAAAAAAACAAGTTTCGAGAATAATTTATTATAATATATAATAAAAATACGGCGCCTGTTCGTATGCAACCCTCCAGACACACTTTGAAAATGTTGCTCGNCGGAATTTTTTTTTCTGCTCGAAAGATAGGCAACCCGTAATACATACGTGTATGAACAGTTTGGGCTGAAAAAAAATTCCGTTCCAACAGATGTCGCTCGCAAGCAACATTTTTAAACTGTGTCTGGAGGGTTGCATCCCTACAGGCGCGCATTTTTCTAATTATTAAATAAATAATTAGAAAAAAAATATTATAATAATAATAGTGTGTAATAAATTATCCTACTATGAAAAAAAATCTTTGGAAAAAGGTAGAACGAAAGTAGAAAAAAGAAATGTAACAAGAATTGTTTGTAAAATATTGCAAAAACTGTAATAATTTCTTGTTTACTCTATTTAAAAATATTTTAATAGAACATATCGTAAAATATGCTTGAATAATATTTAATCATGCACGTTATATACATTAATAGAACTAATTTTATATGTTATATAATATATTGCATTAAAAAAATAATAATAATAATTAATATAAACAATAAATAATAAAAATAGAGGAACTATGAGAAGAGACAACAACAGGACTCGTGTATGTATTTGAACGTATTTGTATTAGCATAAATGCTAACATTTTTATTCATTTATTTATATATATATATATATATGTTGTATATATATATATATATTTTTTTTTTATTTTTTCTTTTATTTTCTTTTATTTTCTTTTATTCCATTCGATTCGGGCACACAATTATTGCATGTATGTATGTTTATGTATATGTATATATGTATGTATATTTTGTAATGTTTGTATGTATGAATTACAAGGATACCGGATGTATTTTACAGCTTTTAGCGGTACACTTAGGTATGTTAATGTATGGATCCGTTTTACAATGATATTTTATAGCTGGCAGTAAAGAGAAAGAGAGAGAGAGAGAGAGAGAGAGAGAGAGTCGGGTCGACATTTATTCGTAAAGGTTTAATTTCGCCTAAGCGTAGATTAATTAAAATTCTTTTTCTTATTAACATTTTTCTTTTCTTTTTTTGTTTTTTTTTTTGTTTGAATCTCAAAAAACTATTTGATTAATTATCTTGTTGATTACAACAGTGTTAAATAGAACTCTGGCTGATGAAAGGTAAAAATAATTAATAGATAAGAAAGAGAAAAAAAAAAGAATAAAATGTAAGGGGGTATTAAAAAAAAAAAAAATGAAGAAAACTAATTGAAATTTGTTTGTTTGTTCGTTTTGGATTGTTCTCGTCGTAATCTTCGATTTTTTTTTCATTTTTTCTTTTTTTTTTTTTTTTTTGTTGCTTCTTCTTCTCTCCTTTTATAAATTTAGATAAAATTATACATGTGTGCGTTTGTGCGTATACACGAAGGAAAAATAAGATAAACAAAACAAAATATTGTTTCACTTTTGATAAAAATATAAGGAGATTGTTTTGATATTATGTAAGATTATTTTACAAATGATAATAACTTTCGTATAATTGCATTTTTACCTCGCATTTTTTTGTTTGTTCATACGTGCATACATAACATTTAAAATATTGTCACAATTTCCTTTTTTTTTTGTTTTTTGTTGACAACACGAAAAAATACACACGTTTTATCTCTTCTTAATCTTTCATCATATGATTTATAATTATAATTATATAATTATTATTTTAATATTATTATTATTATTATTTAATTTTTTTTCTTTTTCATTTTAATAAAAATTAAAAATTAAAAATTAAAAACACACACACGTACTTGGGATTATTTTCGAGCACGTCGTTTTACAGCATATCCGGTCTGTACAAAAATAAATAAGACAGAAAACAAAAAAATTAAAATCATAACTCACGTATTATTATTTTCAATTATAATTTTTTTTATTCTCTTTTCTTTTCTTTTTCTTTTTCATTTCTTTTTATTTTCTCTCTTTAATATGACAACTTTTACTATTTAAAGTTTTCCGTTTTACTTTAAGAAAACATCGGTTTCCTTTCGATTCTGTGCTTTCAATCTCGAAAAATAACAGAGGAAAAAAAATTACAAATAGAAAGTAGACGTAGGAAAATTAAAATTGTGATTTGTATTTTAACAGTAGAAGAAAAAGATGTAAAAGGAAGGGGTTGATAGGAATAAAAACGAAAGGGGAAGACACTTTCGAGAATTGCCGAGACTCAAAAAACATTACACCGAAGTTATTACACGAACATGTGTTTTCTTTCTTTCTCATCTTTTTTTTATCTTTTATCTTTTTTTTTTTTTAATTCTCTGAACAGCGTGCCGTCTCGATACGAGTTAATATCCACGTTGTTCTCATCTATATCAAATAATAATAATAATAACAATTATTATTATTATTATAATATAATATAATAATATAATAATATAATATAATAATATAATATTTAATATATATATAATAAAAATAATAATAAACTCTGCAATATATTTAATACAGGCTTGTTCACACAGACTAGATACACTTCCCACAAAAGGGGAATATTATTATTTATTTAATTATTTAATTATTAATCTTTTTTTTTTTTTTAATCTTTGTTCTTATTCTCTTATCATTCTTTTTATTTGACGCTTAACAGCAACGTTCAAGCTATATTACTTGGCGTATCAAGGTAGGAATTCAGGAACGATCTGATTAATAGATATTTGGCGTATTAAAACGTCACCGCCATTATTTTACGTGGTTCGACTCCACGAAGGGGGTGGGGGAAAGAGGAAAAATATAGATATACATGCTTACATATGTATGCGTCGTTTTTGATCAAAATAATCATCGTTGGTTCCAACATTCTTATAAAACATAATGCAATTTTCATTCTTCGTACTTTCTAGACAAATTTTGTCGAATAACGAAATACGTTTAGGTATGTGTATACATACGTTTCTCTAGAAAGTACGAAGAATGAAAATTGTGTTATGTTTTATAAAAATGTTGGAACCAACGATGATTATTTTTATCAGCAACGACGCGAACGGAGGGTGTGTGGTTTATCTCCACATAGAAAAAATCCCAGTTCATATTTAAATATGTATATGTATGTTAGTATCCTATGTTTGTTGTACGTGTATGTGTGGTGTATATATGTATTTGGATGCGTACAAACAAAAAGGTTTTCCTCCAGAGATTATCCATAAATCCTAGGGGATCAGGAAGAATTAAAAAAAAAAAAAAAACCACACTGGGAATTTCTATTCATTTTCGGATCGAGTGTTCATCAACAGAGGCTGCAACATTTGGAGGCGTCACCCAAATGAATATGACAAACGGCCGGCATACCGGTACACCCTTTACCAACACCAACTACTCTTTCCTGTACGAGATGAGCAAGGCCAAGATTTTGATTGATGTCACCGTCGCTGCCACGATGCTGATGTTTCGTGTCGCACCACTGATGACGTTCCCGCCATTTGTCGTCCGATGCGGCACAAAGTAGCACCGACTTTGGTGATGGCGGACTAACACGATCGCGTGCAATGTTACCGCAAGAACGTGCCTTGTACAATCGACCCTTACCAAATAGACCCGGTAACGGTACGCAAAGTTTCTTGTGAACCGCAAAATAACGACTTAACAAACGAATTTTTCTACTTTTACATTCGTTTCTATTAACCGACGCTCCGCGATTTTCTTTTTCGTTCGTAACTGTTGTTTGTTGACCTATCAAACAACCACCACCGTTATTCAGATCCTTTCTTTTCTCCTCGTTGTTACAATTTCCGATAGTAGTTTGCTGCTGACATCTCGTTGCGTGTTGATCCATTTTGTTGATTTCTCTTGGAGTCGTATTGTTATCCGTTTGTTGTCTATTAACAGCTTGCGACAAAGTAGATTTGCCAATTGACCAACCTTGCAAAAGTCTAGCACCAAAACCTTTAGCCTTTTGTACGGTCGTAGTGGTTGCGTGTGAAATTGATTGATGATGAATACAATGAGAATCGGTGCTACTTTGGGATATCGAGGAAGTAGAGGTTGAAACGTTTTGGACATTTAAAATTGTCGAATTACGGGATACGTGAGAATGATGATTGTGACAGGCTGATGATGGACCCTCGGCTTCTTGCACCTCGGTTATTCGATTTAACGATTGGCTTTCTCTCAAACGCGTCTCCCCAGCTCTTCTTCTGCCTGCTCGATGTCTTCTACCAAAGGCCACTTGATTATCCGTTGATCTGTGCCTTCCACCGGCTGTCGTAGTATTGCTTGTCGTTGTGTTAGTAGTGTTACCGCCACCATCGTTACGACTAGTATCAGCCGTATTCGATGGGGCTTCGCTAGTATGTTCACCATTTCCAAGACCACTACCACCCCCACCACCACCACTACCTCCAGGATCTTGAGAATCGCTAGAATCGTCGTGACTATCTCGTCTAGGTGGTAATGGTTTTTCTGTCGTTGCACCAAGCTTATGAGCTCTCTTTTTCCTACTTTCACTGTCGTCGTCGCTAGCGTCCGAGCTTGAACACGATGCAGTTCTTGTTTTATGAAATTTGCTTCTTCTCTGTTCGTATCCCGTACGTCTGACCACACGACACTTGGCAGCGGAAGAAGCGTTATTGTTGGTACCTTCGTTCGAACCAACCGAACCTTGTATCGCGACACCATCTTCTAATATTTCGTTCAAGGTTAATTGAGGAGGTGATATGGAACCAGTACTACCTGGTGATGGCATAGTCTTATATTTTGGTATCGTGGATTGATGATCTTCGTGCGTGCTTGAACGAAGGGGAATCGAAACTGTCGATGATTCCGTTAGAATAATTGTCGTTGTTGTAGAAATTAAATCAGATGGTCTAGAAGAAGAGACAGTTTGTGATGATATTGGAGATGTTTCTAATGTAAGTCCCGCTGATCTATGTTGAGCACCCATTCTCCATTTATTTGCTGGAACAGGACCTAACGCCGATCTTGGACATTCCGTAACAGATTTCGGTCTACTCTCCACGCTGCCTGGTTTTTTCGACCAACCCGACGATTGAACGAGCGTAGTACTAAATTTACTTTTTAAACTTTCATCGAAGATCGAGGATACTTTAGTAGTCGAAGAAGATATTTTATTATCGGATATCGCGTTATCCGGTTGAACGGCAGAACCTATTACGTTAGAATGACGATTTAAAGTTAAATCGACAAGTTTGGGATCTTTCGTAAACGGCTTTAAACACTTTCCTTCCCGATGATGATCAGCAGTTGTCACAACGGCTACGTTAGGACAATCTTGTTGTTGGGCAACCAGCCTTGGTGTGACCGCAGCCACTTTGTGTCCAGTATGTTTATCCGGTAGTTGTCCCAGCCTTTCTTGCAAAATATGTGAGAGCTTTCCTTCCGAACGTGAGCCACGACGATTGAACGAGTTCAAGGCCGAATTGCTACCGCGTTCTTCTCTACCGGAACACGAGGAAACGTCGTCTTCGTCTTCTTCTTCTTGTACGATGCTGCACTTTCTCGTACGCACATTCTGTAACGAGAATAGGAATCTTTTTTTCCCCACGGCAGGAAATCTAAACTACTCCAGGAGAGTGGTATCACACTTGTAATGTACATTCGTACGTTGTAATTAATAATTCAGGTTGATTCTCGATGTCGGGGATGTAATGTAGCATTTATTATGCGATACGTACCTGTGGTACGTCACCGGGCGTACGTGGAACACTCAGCAAGGATTGATTCACGGTACCAAGTAAATTTTGATTAACGTGAAGATTCACCGTTGCTTCCTCTTGCCTGCTGAAAGTAATTCGAATTTTAATTATCGATCGTGCCTACACTCTTATCTTTTTAATATGATATTTTATATATATATATATACATATATACCTACCTAGGAGAAACATCGAGTATCTCGGGACGTGCTTTTTGCACCTGTTCCTGTCTATGAGCTCGTAATTTTCTCTCGGCCAGCAGGAAATACGTCGCCGTTATGTGATTATACTCGTTCTTGTCTAACGCTCTTTATAAACGAGAGAAGAGAAGAAGAAAGAAAGAAAAAAAATGAAGGAAAGAGAAACAATTATTCGAGTAATTTCTTATGGTGGTAAACGAATAAGAAAAATATATCGAAATCCGTACAATTTATTACTCACTCTAATATATCTTCCTTGGTGGCGATATTACCGTTAACCATTTTAGTAATAATAAGATTATGATGATCGTCGGATACTTGTTGACGAGACACCAAAGGTAAAACTTCGACGGAATCCTTGTCAGATCCGATAGCAAGCCAAGGATCAGCTGCTATTTCTTCGAGCGATGCTCTTCCTTCGGGTTCTCTAACGAGCATCCTGGCGATCAAACGTTTACAATCATCCGATACGTGGGCCGGAATGGAATACTTGCAATCCATGATCATTGTCAATGTCTCGCTGTCATTTGCCTCTTGAAAAGGTGCTTGACCGCATACCAACATGTACAAAATCACACCGAGCGACCAGACATCTAATAAACACACACGTTTAATTAGACAAATTTTGGATAAATAATTTTTTAGAAGAATAGAAGAATTAATCAATGAGAAATTAAACATAACGTACCAACTGCAGGTGCATCGTAACTGTCACCAAGAAGTATCTCCGGTGCCGAATATGCTAAAGAACCGCATGAAGTTTCGAGCTTTTGTCCAGGACAAAATTTATTGCTAAAACCGAAGTCAGTCAGTTTGACGGTACCGAGTTTTTCAAAGAAGACAACATTCTCCGGTTTGAGATCCCTGTGTACAACGTGTAACCGATGACAATAGGATATTGCACGAACTATCTGTCGAAAATACGTCCTTGCTACCTGTTGAACGAAATAAGAGAGGTGAGTAGAGAATAAGTGAGCTTTTCATCATTACAACTTATTATGAACAAAGGGGTTAAACTTTAGTTATAACGTTGTCTAGTCGCGTTTAACGGTTAGGTGAATCACGAAAAGAGAAAGAGAAAGAGATAACAGCTGTTATTTCTCTGTCTTTCCTTTAAGAATGTATAGACACGCAACAGCAAACAAGTTTGGCAAGTTTGCAACTAATAATTCGTCTAGGTACTAATTTAAGAAGATCTCTAAGAAAATAAAGTTCTTATTGTATAACCAGCACGTTATAATACCTCTTCGCTTAGTCCACTATCGTGGCGCATGATGTAGTCGTAAAGGTCACCGCCATCGCCTAACTCCAGGATCAGGTACAACTTTGTTTGGGTATCTATCACCTCGTACAATCTCACTACGTTCGGGTGTTGCACCAATTTCATACATCGTACCTAGAAATTTAACGACAACGTTGTAATATAAATTGCAAATGAAGGAAGACAGAGAGAAAGGGGGGGGGGGAGAGAGGTCATTGACCTGTTATCTCTTAGTACACGATTATCTCGTTGATCTTAACAAGATCCATAACTTGACGTAGATCGCACAGATCCTCGCCAACAGGATATACTCGTTAATTCAATCCCGATTTTCTTTTTATCCTTGCACATACTAATGTAACGAAATATTAGGGTTAACCCAAAGTTCTGCAGTTTAAAAGTAAATTTTACAACAACAAAAAGAAAAAAAAACATTATGCAATTTCAAAGTAAAGTTTAAACACAATAAATGTACGAACTATTGGTTCACCCTAATAAATATAATCTTAAAGGTAGATAAAGATAATTGAAATTTAACTTATTAACCATTGTTTTTTTTATTTTTTTTCTTCAGCTTACCTCTTGGAAAAGATGCGCCCTAGATACTTCGTCGAGTTTGCTCTTGTCTATGACCTTCACTGCAACCTTCTCACCAGTAAATACGTGTCGAGCAAGCTTTACCACAGCAAAGTGTCCACGACCAAGAGTCTCTTCCAGGTCGTAAAGGCCCGCGATCTTGCCATCGTAGTTGCTGTATCCCACCCTACGATGCATCTCGCAGCTGCAGTACACGCATGCACACAGAGAGAAAGAAAAATCATTAAATAATCCTATATTATTTATATTATTTCACAAGTAAAATTATAATAGATTTATTTTTTTATTGTTTTTTTTTTTTTTTTTTTTTTCAGACCAATGGTTAATTTAATTCATCGAGAAAAAATGCATATTTTTATTTGATTAAAAAGAAAAAAAAGAAGAAGAAAAAATCATGGAAGAGACAGGTAAGAAGATCGATCATTTCACGAGAGGAAAAACAAGCCTAACGCCGTGTGTACTCGTGAGAGGTTTGTCCCTATGACACAGAGAGGGGTCACGGGATTATTTTTAGCACACCAAGGCAATAATTAATTTCGCTTTAGCTGAGCCGATCGAGGGTCAATGGCGAATAACCAACTTTTATTTAAACGATAAGTTCATTTTACTTATATTCGGCAAAGAATTAAATTAATTTCATCGAGACAAATATTCGTATTTCGCGCGCTATCTTTTTATATTGTCTACTTTTCTTCTAGTCATTTTTTTTCTTAGTAACAATTAAAAATTGCACAATCGGTTAGTCAAATATCAAGTAAATATAAGTACGAAAAATGATCGTAATAATTTATTATATTAAAAATATATTATATTAAAAGATAAAAAGGATGAGATAAAGGTTGTGATAGGTTAAATCTATTATCTATCGTCTTATGTTAAAGCCAATTCCGGTTCACACGATACTCGAAGTGGTTTGCTTACGTCAAACGAACGTATGTCGAAGACATAATGGGAGGGGGGAGGAGGAGGGTGACTGGACGTTTAATGCTTCTAATGCGCATAATATGCAATTTCATTTTTTTTATTCTTTTTTAAGACTGACGAAGAGAATATGACAAGAGAAAAGGGTTGGTAAGTAAAGAGTTAAAAGAGAGAGAGAGAGAGAGAGAAAGAGACGACTGACTACCTTCGTTCGAACCTCTTTGAACGTCATTTGACCAATAAACGAGTTCTCGATGTTAAACGTTATTACACTTACTGCTTTAACGTCACGATGCATTAATAAAGATCGATGGATATGCAAGAGGATAGAAACTTTCAAATTAATACGATTACAAATTGTTTTAATAAAGTTTCAGCAATGCATTTACAATGCATATATATTGTAATGTGTTTTATTTAAAATATAAATTGTAAATGCATTATTACTATTATATACATGTGTGTGTAGTAGTAGTAGTAGTAGTAGTAGTAATAGTAGTATATGTGAAATACGTATTTATCGTTAAATAATACACTTATCGTCATTCATTCAAGCAAAAGTATAGCACAAACGATGATCATGCGAAACAGAGAAAGATAGAGTTAAAGATAGTAAAATATAGTTCGAAATGTTGTCAGACATCCTTGGCAGATTTGTTAGAAATAACGGCAGACGACCCAATTTTCTAAGTCCGCGTACCCATAGATCACAATCTTTGTCTCGTTCTATTACATAGAAAAGCTTTGTTCAAAGCTTCGCAATTTCATATAAAATAAAATAGAAAATCAGAATCAAAAGATTTGAATTTTCATTTAAAAATGATTTCTAAACATGGAAATATACTCTTAGAATTTCGAGACGTTCCTTTCGATTCACATCCTGTATATACATACATACATATATACATATATAGATATATATATATAGATATATACTAGAACGTAGATGTCAGAGGAAAATTTCGTGCTGGTTTTCGAGAACGTAGATGACAAAAGAACGGAGTCTAATAAAAGCGAAAGAGGGTGCATCATTGAGTAAGGTTGAGGGCGCATCTCGTCTCTCGAGGTCGAGTAACAAAGTTGCATGGGTACTATCACTACTACTACTACTACTACTACACTACTATTACTACTAACACTAGTACCCTTACGATAACTTCGTCTTCTTGAGAATGTATAGTAATCTATACGTGGCTAAAGCATTAGAGAAAACTAGGAGAGTGGAATGGAAATTTCTCGACCAAGTCATGTAAGTATTTTATACATATACATATATATACATATATACACATTCCTTTGAGATATCTCTTTTTGTATATGCATGTGTTATTTGACGAAACGTCACACGTCGACTATAAAAAAAAAAAAAAATAAATAATAATAACAATAAAGAAAGAAGAAAAAAAAGATGAGATCGTGATAATATAAAGAGGATTTTCAATCGGACAAATTTGTCGGTGGAAAAAGCTGTTTGTTGGTTTAGTGAATCTCGATCATTTTCAAGTATCCAGAGATAGGAGATTTGATCGGAAGAGTTTGACACTTCGTCGATAACATTTGCCTCGACCAATGGTATTTACATCGAATCTATGTACATATATATATAAATGAGATTTAATACCATCGGTTCACGTTTATTTACTACGAACTTTGTTAAAGTAGTCTGTTGGATTAGTTTGTAAAACGTTGTGAAAAGTAAAACACGAAATAAGTGAATTTATTATCAACGTCATTGTTGAATATGAAATTAGAAAGAAAAAAAAAATAAAAAGAAAAGAAATTAATCAACATGATTCAAATTCATTAACACGAACGATTATTTGCTTTCTTATTTTTAATTTTTCTATTACGTACGAATAAACGTAAAAAAAAAAGATGCTTAAATTGGATCGTCGAATATGTTGTGTTGTGTGATGATATATTTATTTGTACTACTTGTTACTACTGTATATACAGATATGCTTAATCCTTTCATGACAAAGACGATAAGATTACGAAGGATTACGCAAATTAATTCGATTAAGATTCGCATTATAAATATGTCACAGAGTATGCGCATATGTAAGCGTTTTATAAATATATACAAAAAAAAAAAAACGAGAAAATCTTTTCTTTTTGTTTTAAAAATAGCAGAGATAAAAACGCGATTTGAAATTCATATGTAAAACAAATAGTTATCGAGTAGAGATCAATGATATTTTTCCCTTTAATAATAATTTGAATTAATTAATAAATTAATAAATTTTAATAATAAAATACTGCATAATAATAATAATAATAATATTCATTCGAAAGAAATTTTTGGTTTCATTTTGTGGTTTAATCCAGTTTGTTTCTTCTTTTTTTTTTTTTTTTCTCTCGAGCGCATATTTAGTTGATAAGATTCAGTGTCATATTTTCAGGAAAAGATGAAGGAAAAAGAAAATTGAAATTTTCTACTCGTTTTGCGGGTTGAGAAATTCATTTTCGAGTACTCGTTATCAACAGGATGAGGGGCGGGTTGGGGGGTACACGTTGATTGCTCGATTTGCTATTACTTCCGGATGAGTGACTTATTCTATCCTTCTTCTTGATTAAGAAGAGAGAGAGAGATGAAGATGAAGATGAAGATGAAGAGAAAATTTAATAATGAAAAAAAGAAAAAATTACGAAAATAAAAGATAACAATATATATATATATATATAGAAAATGATCGATTATATTAACGATCATCATAATATGATGATTTCCTCTACGTTATTTGTTTCGTAATCGATTGGTGACATTAAAATAAAACCGAGAGGAAAAAAAAAAAGAAAAAGAATTTAATTTATCGCAAGAATTTATTATCAGCCGGATATATAATTATATCTCTCGTGATATTTACATAACGTTTCAAATAACACGTGTGATTTATTATCATCATCATCATCATCATCATCATCATCACCATCACCATTGATTCGTCTCAAATATAATCTAAGTTTTACATTTTTTCTTTTTTTTTTTTTCTTTTTCACCTCTCCGTTTTCCAATCGATATTATTTGATCGTTATTTTATCGAACGAAAAGTTTAATAAGAAGAAATATAAGGAACCACGAGGTGTGTCGTCGTCGTGTCATGAAAAATAACACAAAGTAAACATGTAAATAGATATTGAGAATGCGTACCGTTATAAAAGATTCCTAGTTTTCTTTCAGACGCGAAAGGATATACTAGTTTTATAAGTATTATATCGTGTGTACTCTATTCCTACTTTTCTATTTTTTCTTTTGTTCTTTTTTCTTTTTTCTTTTCTTTTTTGTGTGCCCCTATTTCTTTTCTTTTCCTTTCATTTTGTTTTCTCTCACGCGAGAAATATGCAGAAAGTTGCCAATCCTCAATAATCTGAAATTTAGAAAATGTAACTTTAAGATTCTAATACTTTTATTCGAATATATTTCGAAAAAATAGTATTATTATTATTTTATAGTTTTAATATAAATATTAAAAAAAAATCACAAGACCAACAAAAATTCAAATATTGTTTGATCGAATAGAATTATAATATTTTGTTTTTCATTTGAAAGACATGAATTTTCAATTATCGTGTTGATGACCAGTTAACCGTAGCTAATTAGATACACTTTTTGAAAAGTATTTGTTTTAATTGTGTTGCTAAAATTAAACGATGAAAAAAATACATTCGTCAACGCACAATGTACATATGTGTAAGCTGTTATAATATTGAATTAAAAATAATAATCACACATGAGTATTTTATTTTAATGATATTAAATGAAATAAACTACAATAAATAATACCACTTCGCAAGTTAAACACAAATATCATCATTTTTTTTTTTTTTGAAAAAATATACTTGGTATATAATCTAGAAAATGGTCAACGATTAGATGTGCAACGTTACGTTTAGTTGACCGACTTTGTTTTACGTTGTTCAAGCTATATAATATACTGTGTATTTTCATAATAATTATTTATATTACGCTTTTCGTTTTAATTCATCTTGATTTTTATATAATTTAAAACGTTTTGAAATTCACGAATGTATTTTCCTCGTGACAGTAATTACCATTTAAATAACATTTGATATTACAAATACTATTCACAAATGACGATATATCATTTGTAATTTTATTATTTATATAATTAATAATTTTTCAGTTGGATGAGTGATCCATTAGAAAAGACACCCTGCTGCATATTTTACATACAAAATATTCTACAATGTAAGACTATTTTTTTTTTTTTTTTTATAAGTTATTAAGTTTCGTAATAAAAATCACGAAATTATGAGATTATTTTCTTGTCATTCATAGGGTTGCAAAGTTCTTCCTCTATTACTTGTTTCAATTGAAATAAAAAAGAAAAGAAAAGAAAAGAAACAAATACTAGTAAAAAGGTAAATATAAAAAGGAATTGAAAAGTTTATACTTTGTTGGAGGATGTTCGGTATAGTAGTATAGTTGACTGTAATAAGCTAGTAAAATCTTATTGCTCTTACGTTGCACTGCCCTGAGAGAAAAGTTATGTAATACGTTAGAGACTCACATACGCTACATATATACTACATAGATATATATATGTAGAAACATACAAACATATACATGTATAAAATCCTTTTCCTCTCTTTTACTAAATTTTCGATTTCCTTCTCCTGTAAAATGGATCAACGAGTATGTGGCGTATGTTAACGGAACACATTGTATAATAACGAACGTGGGAACTAAAATACAGTCCTACTTACACGTTAATACAATGAAACGAGTCTATTAACTATTAAAAACTTTTAATAATCTCTAATCAATTTAAGAATTTATTTTCTCATAAATTTCAATATACTCTTAGGATAAAAAGAAAAATAATAAATAGATAAAAAGAAAAGGATGAGAAGGGAATAGAAGAAGGGAAGAAAAGCAAAATGAAGCATAATAAAAAAAAAAAAAAAAGAAAAAAAGAATGATACGTCGAGGATGTTCCATTTAAAGTAGCCTTAAAGCAGCGCTAACGATTGGAAACGATTAAAGTAATTTTTTTTTCTCAATGTCAAAGGTGATCCATCAGTGACGGTTTACACTCACGTGCGTTTTGCTATGTAAATACATACATGCGTGCTAGGGGATTTAAATGAATAAGACCACGATCATTGTAAAGTAGTCAATGAAATCAAAGAATCTCTGATCCTTCTCTCTCTTTCTCTCTCTCTCTCTCTCTCTCTCTTTCTCATTCTCTCTTATACTTAATGATATTTTTCTTCTTCCTCGACCCGTCAATAGACGATGACGTAACGAGGCGTTAGCGCGTTTCTCTCCTTCACGAAGAAAAATCAAACGGTTTTTCTTTTTCTTTTCTTGTTATCAATCATTTGTTTTTCTTCCTTAACTTGACCTTTATAAAAAAAAAAAAAAAAAAGAAAAGAAAAGAAATGTATAAGAAAAAAAAAATGTCTTTCCCAAGAATTCTAAGAGTTTCTTCTTCTTCTATCGGCTACCCTCTCCCCCTCACCCTTTGTGCATCTCTATTGCAATTTTTTCTTCGTCAATGCGTTCGCATGCTCGGGGGTGGGGAGGAAGAAATATTCCAAATGTGTATTCAAGCGTCTCCCTCGTGTACACGCGCGTGTACATATGTGTTTGTGTGTACTCATGTAGCAGATAATATATAAAAGATGGACAGAAAAAGATAAGAGAGAAAGAGAGAAGCAATCATCCGGTGCATGTGAACGCGTACAGACAAAAAAATTACATCTCTTTCTCTCTCTCTTTTTTTTCTATTTCTCTTTTGCTGTAATATATACATATATATTTTGTATACTCTTCTATTAAAAAATTGGAGAAAAATAGAAAAAAAAAAAATCAAGAAAAGAAACTTATAAAGGTGTACTGTGTGAAGATAAAAGAAACAATAGGTACGATAAAAAGGACAAGGATTGAAAAGTGCATTTCTCTTTCAATAAAATAAAAAAATAGAAAAATCTCAAAGGTATCATTGGGGTAAGCTAACACAAACAAAATATTAGAATTCGTTGAAGGAATAAAGATGATGGTAATGTAAGAGGTAGCTTGGTAACTTTCAGGAGCCATGTTTACAGAAGAGTCTATTAAACCTTAGAGAAAAGGGAGGAACGGAACGAGATGAGAGAAAGGGTGAGATCTATATATATACACGGATGCACAAGCCGCATGAACTCACTCGCTCTCACTCACTCACACACGCAGCAACATACACACACACATACACATGTAACAAACAGCAGTAGCAGTAGCAGTAGCAGCAGACACTTGGAATATACCTTTAAACGATAATCATATACGTACAGGGTTTTACGATTTCAGCTAATCAGACGACCGATGATCCAGCCAGTGACAATAGTAATAGCTGCTGCAGCAACAGCAACAACAACAACAACAACAATAGAAAACTCGTTCTTCTTCTTGATACACCGTCATTTGTAAAAGCAATTCATATATAGGCGCGTTTAACTTGCTGTGTGGAGCAATGCGCGTCACCTGACGCCGTTGCTCGGCCGACTTCTCCTCCCTCTCCCTCCCCCACTCCCCCTTACTTCTCTTCCTCCTTTCTACCTACTCCTACTTCTCCTCCTCTTCCTCCTCCTCCTCCTTCTTCTTCTTCTTTCTTTATTATCGTTTAACCGTTACTTTTCACGCTTTTCCTTTTCACCGTTTTCCCTTCTTCCGTGAAACCTCAGGACAGCCTAGAGAAACGGATCGAACTGACAATTCTAGCAAGTCTAACTGCTGCAACTCAGTGCAAGCCAGGACGCGTGTTTACACAGCACCGCTTGCATCCTTCCACTACTCTTCCGTTCAGTATTCTATCTCTTTCTCTTTCACATCTGAGGCTTCGGCACCCCACCCACTCGTGTGCTTTCTATCTATCTCTTTTCTTCTTAACTTCGATCCACTCTTACAAAAAGAGAAAAAGAAAGCTCTTGTATTCCTTAGGATGTCGCGGCGACACACTTATTTATCTTTTTTTTCTCTCTCTCTCTCTCTCTTTCTCTACCGTGCTACCACCCAGCACCTTTTAAAACGTTAACGTTTTCTATATATCTATCTTTCTTTCTCTCTCTCTCTCTTTCTTTCCCCCTCTCCTTCCTTACACTTTGTCAGCGCTCCTTCTCGCGCATCATCTATCCCTCTCTCTTCCTCTTTTACTTCCAATCGTAGTGAGGAGTAACGCGCGCGCGCATGACACCAGCAACCATTATATACATATACACTCTTTTTACCCGAGTAGTACACACATTACTATTAACAGCAGAGACAGCAGTAGCAGCACAGAATACACATACACACTCACACGTACAGTCTGTCTCTTTCTGTTTCGGCCAATTCTGGGCCTAACTTCTTCCGGTCTCGTGCACGCGACAAAAGCAAATACACACGCATATACACGCGGAAAAAACTATACGCAATAGTACCGAACTTAGAAGAGAACTACGATAGAATATGATCTTTTTTTTCTTTTATAATTCGTATTTCTTCCCTGTCAGACTTTAACGTCACGTCTTAGTATTTTGATTAACGTTTAGACGATCTCCTTCTGTACTGGAAATACTTACTCAAAGTGTACGGTATTTGTGTTGAAAATTTGATAGAAATGCTTAATCAGAATTATCGGGACGCGAAACAGACTCGCACAGCGAGCTCGCCTCGCCGCGAACTATTTACTTCTTTAAGAGTTAACTTCGAGGTATCCTGATTGAATAGCAAAAAAAGAAAGAGTAGAGTTAGGAATAGGACGAAAGTTCATTTATCGAGATACAGATGGCGCGTCGTCCGTCGAGCTGACATTTTGTTAAATTTAAATTACCTGTGATAATGTTTAATGCATTTTAAAGAATATTAACCCTTTGTCTTCCGAGAAATTTTTAATATGACATTTTAGCAACTCCGGGTCATTTTGACCATGATCACTTTCAACTTTCCTTTTTTTTCGTTTAATACTACAGACAAAAATATGATCGAAAGAAATGCAGCAAGCTCGGTGACAAGACCGATTACACACTATAGGCGTGTGCCGATACATTATCCTAACCGTATAAAGATACAATGTAACCTTTAGATGCCGGCGTGCTGGAGTGGAAAGGGTTAATAATAACTACGAACATGATACCTTTTATAGTTTATAAAATTTTTATATTCTTTTTGTTCAATGTATTTTTATTTTATTCTTCGCCGCGATTGGTTGATTTAAATCGTACGATAAAATGTAAGGA